GTGTGTGTGTGTGTGTGTGTGTGTGTGTGTGTGTGTGTGTGTGTGTGTGTCTGTGTGTGTGTGTGTGTGTGAAATACTATCAACTCTGAGCCTGTTTAGCAGCATTGTCTCCATGTAATACAAAGTTTCATGATGCTACTGTACAACAGTAATGCTTAGAGTGGTTAAAAACTAAACAAGGTTTGAAATAACCTGCTTTAAAAAGTGCCTGATGAGTGCACTAGCATTATTCTATGAAAAGAGGAATGCCTCGTGATTCATCCAGTCTGTATAACTCAAAGCAGACAGTTACTGTGAGATGAACTGCTCAACAACAAGGAAGCAACATGAAGAGAAAAGGATTGCCTAATTTGTACTTTGTGGGGTTTTCCCCCTAGATCATTATGTTCTGTTTCTTCAGATAACATTCAGTTAGATGGAAGAGAACTTGCAGAGATGGAAGTATGCTGATAAAGATTCTGAGTCATCCAGATCATGATCAATCAAAAAATGTAAAATATAAATAAATAAAAGCAAATAAAAAAGCTGGACTTTTCTGTAGCTAAAGACGATTCACTTCCCTTCCAAGAAGCTTTATCAGCTCACAGGTATGCTGTGTCTCAATTCAGGGGTTACATCCTCCTGAGTGCACATTTGTTGGCCCGCTATGTCACTGCCCTGTGACGTAGGATGTCCCATTTTGTAGGTTCCTTCTTCTGTGGCCCACAAAATCCCAAAAAAGAAGGCTGCATCTGACTATCCTTCCTGGCTGAGGAAATCCCAGAATTCATTGCGCCATCAACAAACTGAACAAAAAAATAAAGACAGATGTTTTATCTTTTTTACCATGTCTGCATAATTAGGAAATTTATCAAGGGCCGAAGACTGTTTTTAAATATTTGTTTATCAACTCAACTGATAAAAATGACACTATGGCGAAACCCAAAATTATTTATGTTTTCTATTGATTTATGTGTAACGTTTTTAACTGGGAAGTTTATCCTGCAGTGAAAAGGCATGTCCCAATGCATTTTAAGTCTGAAGGGATGTGATATAAAACTGATCACAATGGTACAACATGTGGACACACAAACATATGTGATCCAAAAGCTAGACAGTCTCATTTCACAATTGTTTCATGCTGCCTACACACGCTGCATAGGCTGTGGCCTTCATGGGCCATGGTCCAGGTAGGCTGCCACCCCTGAATTCAGACACAGCCATAGAAAATCCTCATCCCTCACAATGGAGAGTTGTAAGGCTCTTTGTTAGCCTGGCTCACAGGAAAAAATGTCTTGATCACATGCATGAAGACGTGAACTGGGGTGAAACTGAGCAGGAATCAAACCTAATGCTGTATTGTAAGTGAAAGTATGAAAGGATCAGGGATGCATAAGATCAGGAACGAGATCAGTACAGCACAGGTTGAACAACAGAGATAAAGTTAGAGAGACCAGACTGAGAAGGTTTAGACATGTTCAGAGGAGGGACAGTGGATACATTTGTAGAAAGATGTCCGAGATGCAGCTGCCAGGAAAAAGACAGAGGACATACTTGGATTCAGTTAGGGAGGACAATGAGGTAATTGGAGAGAGGACAGAGTGAGATGGATGTGATGACTCGCTGTGGCGACCCCTAAAGAGAGAACAGCCAAAAAATGAATCAATGAATGAAGTAAGTCCAATAAGAATGGTTCTTATGGCATTGTGTGAGAAAATGTTCACCATCACTCTATACGCAAGTTGTTTTTACTTAAACATGATTAATATTGTCTGTTTATTAAGGTAACAGAGAAGTGTGCATTCAAAATTTGGGGTAAAATCCTTAAGGTCAAGATTTGGAATCCAAATACCAAAAAAGTCAGAAGTTTCCAATGACTAGAAAAACAAAAAAAAAAAAAACATTAGAGAAAATTAATAAAGTATATGGAAAATAAAATTTAGTGTTTAGAATTAACAAGTTGCTTCCAAACAAAAGTCAAAATAAAGTCAATAAAATTGTTTTTAAATTAAATGTGATTCAAAACAAAACTGTAGTTAGCACAAAAGCCGACGGCATGATATCCAAATGTTTTCTAGTGACTTTATAACTCAGATCAGGGTTTATTTATAGTAAGAAGGGAAAACTTTAAATAACTTCTTCAAACTACTCACCGTTTAGGCTGCAGTACAAGTTTTACCAGAGAACACTAATAATTATGCAAGTTATTTTTACAAGCCTCAGATAATCTGAGTATATTTTAAGATCAGCACTCAGTGTGTGTTTGACATTCCTATTGTCGAGGATTAAATTATATTCAAAAGCATTCTCTAAAATCTTTTGGATAAAGATTCTGAGATATGGAGAAAGGCTCCAGAGCAGCTAAAACTACCTAGATTAGTAATTTTATCATCTTTTAAAGAGACATTTCTTGTGTTATTCACATTTTTTTAACTGTGTGATTCAGACATTTGTAAGCTACACAAACAGGTAAAAATCCTCCAACAGAGATTTTGATAAATGTAACTTTTTGCTTTTCAAGCAAATGCATTTTTTTGCAAAATAATTCCTATGTTGAGGAACACTAACCCCAAATAAAAAAGAACACCGCTCAACCATTTGTACAAACAGATGTTTTTAAATGAACTGGTATTTACTTTTTACAAAACCAACATTTTTATAGTAAGATTTTATTTCTAATAAAGGAACTTCAGATTGGAGAATCCATAAAATGTTTTGAACAAATAATGAAATTATTTAAAACTTTTATTGTCTTCAGAATATTGTATTTTTTTCCTCAGAATTTGAAAATCACATAAAACCCTTGATCAAGTCCTTGATCTCTGGAT